CCGTCCAATTTACTCCCCGCGGGGACCCCCCCCCTCGTGCAAAAAATTGCTCCCCGACGAACACTAGTCCAAACATTAATGGATTTTAAAGATTTATTATTATTTTTTGAGAGTTCTCAAATCTCGATTTGTCAGTCGTATATATCCTCTATTCATCTGATTAATTCATTCGTCTGTTTGCAATATTTACGTTCATCTGAATACCGAATTTGTTCCATCGAAACATCTCACGTCATTGAATGTTTATTCGACGGTAGTGCTAGCGATGTCTCTTGTCATTTGTATTTGTTAGCAGTTCATGTAATTTGTGCCAGCCATCGTTCTCAACAGCAGATGCCCTAAAAAACAAGAGTTAAGAAAGGTCGGTTAGTCAACTTTTGAAAATACGACTACTTCTCCCATATTCATCTTCTTTTCGGCCGACCACATCATGATATTACGTCGGCTGAAGCCAAGATTTTTGTATATTTCACAAGTTCGACTGCAGTGGGATGCTGTAGCATTGCAGTGGAATCACTATAGTAACAGTGTAGCAGCAGCACTGATGTTGTTGATTTTAGACGATTTTTGAGCGAATCCTGAGGAGTGATCTTGAAGTGGTTGGTGCGAAACGTATTCGACTGAACGCGGATGATGCAAAAAAGTTGTATGCAATCCATCAAGGTAATTGATATTAATTGGTGAGATTCAAGTTGCTCGTAAATATGTTTCCAGTGAGTGTGACGTGATTGAAGCATGTCATTTCAGTGCTTTGATTGATGTAAGCTATAAGAGTAGATGCATTTGTATGAGGTATGATTAGCGATTTTATCGCGTTCAGCCATTCAGATAATTTCTATGATTTGATTTTGCATTAGTGTTGTAATGTGTTTGTTCAGAGGATTCTATGAACAGGAATGTGGTGACTGATTTTTTATTTGTCAAGTGACGAATTATTCAGAAAGGTGTTTTAAGAAGCCTTATTTAGGCGTAGTAATGCGTTGTTATATAATCATTATTTCTATTAGCATTATCATATCAATGTTATCATTATGGTTGTAGTTCGTAATTGTCAGTGAGCAGTAACGAAAATAGATGCATTGATGGTTGAAGAGACACTAAACGAATGTTTGATTAATGAAAATAAACATTAGTTCAGCGCCATAACGCCCGGATACAGTAATCAACTAATCAAAATATGCTTATAAGCCACAACCAATGATCACGCTTCATTGCTTTAGCAACAAATCGTTATCTAACCAGTCGCTTTATACTACCATAATGCATCTATCTCTTTGCATGTCTAACATTACGCATATACAGTTGAAGCTCGCTTTATGGACACAAATTCAGTGCATTCGTAAACCGAAGCTCGACTCTTCATCGTTGTTAATGGAAAATGAATTAATTCGTTCAGTCGATCCAATTCATGCCAATGTCAAGTAGCATAACTTACTAGCAGTTTCACTGACATACTATTCCTAGAGTTCGATAGTGAAAATATGATGTTAATTTGAAATCAGAGCGTCTTCTTTGGTTCATTGTAAGAAGTTTTTCGAGAGATTGTTCCACGGTCAACCTGCAATACTTTTGAGAATTTTCCACGAGAACGTTGTTGTTATTTACTAGTTTCTTATCTCACCGATGGCCCTTCTTGTGAAACGCAGTCATTGGCCAGTTCCAGCTACAAATTCATCACGAATGAAATGATTTCGTTATAAAAGCCTAAAATACCCTATCACGACTGTAGCACATTTCTTCCCATTAAAGTAAAACAGCGATACTTTGAGTAACGAAAATCAGAAAGCACATTGCGCCGAAACTCAAAAATGACAGAAACATTTGACGAATGCTGTTCGATAGGTGGAACATTACTGCAAAGCAGTCAAAATCCTACCATAAATTTTCTCACATGTATGTTACTGCTTGACATCCTGGCGAAAAGTTCGCCAATTTCAATCGAAAGTGCTTGTCGGACAGAACAAATTTTTGTCGAGAATTTTTTTCGAAAACGGAGCTTCCACTATATTTATCCAAAACCTTTCTTCTTTTTTTTTAGGATTCCATTCCGATTGTTTTCAGTCTATTTGTAACCATGTACTTTCATCTTCCATGTTGGCTTATATCTCATCCATTACCAATTATGCAAATATTTCAGGGAAGTTCTTCTACGATCGACTCATTCGGCACGTGACCAGGTAATTATATTAAATTCATCGGCCGTGATAATAAAATGAACGAAATGAGTCCTCCTTATCCTGTCTACATGAGTTCAGTTGTTGTCAATAACTATGATCACTACTGACTACTTGAAAGCCTGTACGTCCTTAACAACTTGATGAAAATTTATTCTAAATATATCTTATAAGGGAACTGAGAGATTAGAACTCCATTTCTACCTATCCCCATGGTTGACAAGTAAGCGTTGTGCTCGGGTTGTCGACTCCTACAAACGCAATCGTTCCCTTTCTTCGAGACAACAGGAAGAAAACATTTCTCATGTCAACCCTAATAGATCGTATATATAGGTATAAAATATCTACTCATATATCGTATATGCGGTATGTTCATATCTTAATCCAGATAGAAAAGTTCTCATCATCAAATTTTCTTCTTTTCACTCATTAAGATCTTAAAAAAATTTAAAGACTGATCCATTTAGTAAGGAACTAGGATTGTTATCGTTACGAGCATCCAGTAAGTAACAAATCAAGTGCCAATAGCATGAGCGAGAGCATAATAGCAAAGGGGCACTCATGCACCCACCCACACACTAATCTTCAAATGTGTTCCATAATTTTACGGGAATACAATAGAAAAACAGTTGTTTGATTTCGATGAGGCATTATATGTTCTTATTTTATGTGATTCATTCATTCATCGAAACACTCAGCGGCCATTCTCCATTCACCAAGACTTATGTATTTGAATGCACAGCAGTAGACAAATGAGGTCTGAAACGAAGGAGTGAAGCAAATGACAATTTATTGACTGAATGTTGGAATGCGAATTAAGAGGAAAGGGAGACGCGTCATTGTATAATTACTTGGAGTTGAAAATGAAATTGAAGTAGCTTTCAGTTTTTAGTGGACTGAGGTGGAGATATGAATGATGAGTGTTGTTATGTCGTGAAGAATAAGAAATTAAGCAACTGATCGTTGAAAAGGAGATTTGTTTCGAAAGAACAAAGAAATAGACATAAAGAAAGAAGTGTTTTTGAATTGTTGACGGTGAGAAGGTGGAACTGAGATGTGAGTGGTAGGCAGATGCCGAAGCAATTTTACGGTGGGCGTTTTGATGATGGTATTTTTTGATTTGATGATGTTGGTTTTACACGTCTTTGATTTAACAAATGGAATGAAGGAATCAAATAAAATGATCGAGCTTTGATGAGTATATATTATCGTAATTATTGATATTCTCATGTGGAATAAACATGCAAGTAATACAACATAAGTCATGAATTGATGAAGAAGCGTGTAATTCGATTAGATATTATTGCTATCATTCATGTCATTTTTATTCTTTCCAGAGATACAACGGCATTCATAGCCTTAATGCGTGCAGAAATGCAGAATGAAGAACATCTTTTGATGAATGGATAGATAGATGGATAGATAGATTGATAGATAGATAGATAGATAGATAGATGTGTATTTTGGATCACTTGTAACGTAATTGGTTTTATTACGCAAACAAAACAATAAGAAAGATTTCCAACGTAGATTTGGAAAGGCCTTTATGAAATCATTCATTCTCCTTAATCATTTCATTTTAACAAATAATTTGTCATAATTTACTGTTTTTTCGTCTGCTGGTTCAAGATTGAGAACTACTCGTGATCAGAAGCATTAAGAAACTCAATTTGAAGAATTAATTGTCGTTTCTATCCGTTTTTCATCGAGTGAATAAACACACTCTCATCGTGGATGTTTATTTCAGAAAACAGACACTTGTAGTTTTCAATCACTTACGTGATTTTCAAATTGGCCGATTCGGACTGAGTATAGCTAATGATCCAGTTGAACGAATTTCAATGCATCATCACCAAATTCACTCTATATTTTAATCCATTGAGTATTGATCATCATCACTGATTAATAACATTCATGATGAACTTGAAAACAATCGATTCTCTACTTGAAAAATATAATAGGATGATAGTTTCAGTGAATGAGCGAGTTAGTATTGTATTAAAGGCAATCCAGTCAAATGATGTATGAGGTAGACGATTCATTTCACATCCATCCACTCACAACAACAACAATAATAATAATAATAATAATAATCACAAGAATAATTACGGCGGTAGAAGTTAAGTTGAAATGTGTACCTAGATATAATAGGTATGTGTATTGAATGAATGAATGAATCATCAAAATGTAAGTATTCAGATGGAATTGCGCATTATTCATTTGTTGTTTGCAGTGGACCGGTGATCGTAATGCAATTACGTTGCCAATTGGGCGGTGATGCAATTGAACGTTGGCGTCTTCTGATGGGAGCGTCTAAGTTTTTGCGAACGATGCAAGATGTGAAACGAGAATCACTGAGGGCGCAATTCGCCATTTCGGATACGCGTAATCTCGTGCATGGTGCAGATTCGCAACAGAGTGCTCACAATGAGATGCAGCTCTTCGAGCCATATCCCCCATTGCTAAATCCATATGAACTCATCGCTTCATCACATCCACTCTTTCCATGACAATACAAAAACATGCATCCAATTGATATCCTCAAAGCTGACGCATATTTAAAAATATCTCTCTTCCTCTTAATTCATATCAGCCATTCTTTATGATCTTTTTCATTGTCTTTCCTTATTCTTACCGTCCAGCAATCCAACTAGACATTTATTTGTGTGTTAATTGAATTCAGAACAGGCAAATAATTAATTCCAACATGTAGTTTATCCTTTCATCTTTCATCGTATCATGTTCATGACAGAGTACAAAAGCAGTTATGAAGTCAGACACATTTGTACATTTAAATCTTTTATAATCCGGTTGCAATTTGATAAAACTGTTTATGAAACAATCGTTGTGATCATCACAAAGCATTTCTATCGGTATTCTTCATAAACCACTTACAGCTTGGTACACACATACATCTGCAATGTACGTTTTTACCTGTATGCATGCGAGTTAGGTTCACTTAATCTTGCAACATGATAAATTTTACCTTATGAAGGAATCAAATCCTTAGATGATTTACAAAAATCTGTAAGTATGGTTTGTTAAAAGATGAGCGTTAAGCATTTAAGCAGCATACAAGTATATATTCGTCCAAAATCTAAAATCTCTGCGCTCATCAGTTATTTTTTTATTTTCGTAGTCCCTCAGTTGGGGGAGAAGTGGATGGATCGAAGGATGGACGGATAGATGGATGAATGATTCGCTCGTTCAAGTACAGTATTTGAAGTGGTGATGCACGCAATAATATGCATTCGTGTTTCATCATTTCATAACCATAACAGTAATCATACCATGACACATTTACCGTTTAACTATAAATGTTTTGCACTTACTATCACAAATTCGATTTAATGTAACTACCACGAAATCAACTTTGAAACGATGCTATCTACACTAAACGACTGCTCTTTGATATGAGTGTATCGTATACACAAATGTTTTCATAAAGTAAACATCAGATAGCAATGCTTTAGCATGATATATTCATGTGTGATGTGATTTGATTGTTGTTTTGTGAATGAATACCGTAATGAAATGATACACACTCAGTTCAGTTTAAACCGTGCTTTGACAATTGTTTTGTTATCTTGTGCTGGTTGATTAAGTGAAAGAGCAAATGCTTCAGACACTACTTCAAGGAATGAAAAGGACAACTAATCAGAAAATGTTGTTGTTTGGATGCGTCCATCAACGCGAGCTGGTTGCATAATCATCATCATCATTTTATTTTGAACTTGGACGATGAGGCAAGCTGTTCGAACATGACCATTATCTGAATAATTGTTGAACGAACAATGCGATACGATACGTTATTAACCTGACCCAAATACTACAAACTACTAAATACCCCAATACTACTTTTAATGGCAAATATCGTAATCCTCTCCCTCCGTTCAAGTCATAGCACAAGCATCAAACAAAGTGTGACGGACAGAGGATGATGGGTGTGGAAGTTTTGTTATTATTGATTCGAAGGCGATTTGCATGATGTATTGAAATCAAATGAATTGCAGAGTGGAGGAAGGCATGATTCGTTGATTGTTCTGTGCAAGAAATCGAACTGTTTGAAACTACTGAAAGAAATTGTGAGTGTAATAAAAGCGATCGTTTCATTTCGTATATACACATGCATATAATAAAGATGTATAAGTTGAGTTGACAGTGTACTGAGATGTCGTAAAATAATGGTGTAAATTCAGTATAATTGTAGTTTAAAATGAATGCATGATGAGAAAACGTTTAATTTGAATGATGTAATAAAGGATGCTCTGTTGTTGAAATAATAGTAAGGTGTGTATTTGGTTGTGCTTTTTCATACAAATAGTACTTAATAACAATTATTAGTATAACTGTGATATATTCTGTCAACGACAACGATCTCAATCCATTATTACCAGGTGGTATACCGTGTGGTAAAGTTTTAGAAGTCTAGAGAGGATATAATGGGATTTTGGAGAGGTACACAATTACGACTGACAAGCATTCGATGAACAGCAACAGCAACGAATGAAATTAATAGCTGAGTTGTGAGGATAACACTAATGATGTCAAATGATTTCAAGAATAAATAACGGAACAAGTAAATAAGTAAAGTTCGATGACAATCATCCAATATTCATCGCACAATTAATCATTGTTGATTCAGATCACTTCAGTTCTGTCCATCCAATTGTTTCTATAATCCATCTCTCGCTTCACTCATTTATTCATTATCTATCAGCTCCATAATAAGAACTACCGACTCTGCTTCATTTCTTTTCGTTTCCGTTTTCGAATTCAAACTCTTCGTTATATGTTTGTGTAATACTTGTCTTGTTTTTCTTCATTCTGATTCTAATCACCACCAATCAGTTTTGCTCATTCTTCTTCATTTTTATTCTTCTTCGTCTATCTTTTATTAATAACAATAATAATAATATTTAAATGTCATTGTTATACAAACCTCTAATGATGCTTGAGCGAACGAACGAATCAATCGACAATATATCAAACAACAAAAATGAAATGGTATCGAATCAACGCTGAAATCAAAACGATTTCAAATAAAATGCATCGATGAAAGAATAACATCGTCCCGATCCCCTATCCTACCCCGTCCTCGTTTCGTCTCCGTTCCTTCCTTTATCTCATCCATCTATCTCAGTTCACTCTTTCTTTTGACTCCAATTCCGTTTCAACTCAAATCAAACTTGTGATTACTGCAAGTTCCGTTCATCATTATCATCGTTACCATCTTCATCAATTAATGCGGTGTTCCTTTTTCCCTCCACTTCTATCAAATATCGATTCAATAGCACCAACTTATAGTTTTGTTCATTAAATGAATGCGCAGCAGATTTCTTTCAACATCTTATTTCATTTCACAGTCCAAAAATTAATTTCTCTTGTTGACTGTTCCTTCGTTGATTTGTTGATCTTCTCTCTTTCTCTCCCTCTTAGTTTTGAAATATTATCATCTATCAATGCATCTGACCATCATATCAGAGAGCCGCCATCCTATCACTACCTGTACATACATTCCCTTCATTCGCATGCATGATCATTATCGAACCGATTTCGATTCGATTCATTCGAATTCAGTTCAGTCGAGTAACCAACCACTGTAGTCTGTCAGTTTTCGCATCACATCCAATCCTATCTCACTTACGGTATTTCGCTGTCTAAATCCAAATCCGTTTCATCAACTTCAGTTGTCCTATCTAAATCGGCCACCCATATTCAATGTGATCATCACCGTCGGCAAATACATCGAATAAAGTAGTAATAACAATAACAATAATAATCTATACCTATACATGCATTTAATAAAATGTATACAAACAAATTTGAACACATCCGTGCGCATGTGTATCGAACGAACACATAACAATTAACGATTCATTCATTCACAAATATTGCATTCCACATCAAAACTGAATCATTCAATTCTTCTCAACGATCGTTAACTGAAATCGTCAAGCATTCGTTCCCCTTTTAAATCTCTCTTTAAATACCTCCGATATCCATTATTGTCATGAACATGCTCACCTTTCAATAATAAATAGACGGACGAACTGTATTACACAAATGCAATGCCATGCAATGCAGTGAGTAAATCCCCTGTAATTGATCTGTGAATAGCAGAACTGAGATACAACCTTCATAAAACATTTGCATTATTCAATATTATTTATGTACAAATATATATCGATTTGATTGATATCAATTTAAATAATATTCTCCTCCTCAGCAAATTACAAATAAACAAACACACACTGATTATTTCACAATACATATCAAATATCATAATAATCATGATAATAATAATAATACAAATGAAGTTTATGATGAGGCGCACGCACGTGCAGAATTCGGCGCAAAATAAATGCGCTCTAAATGCTGCGAAAATGAGAACATTGTGGCGATAAACTGAAAGACTTTGCTAAATTATGGGGATGGAAGGAAAGAAGGCAATGGAATTTGGAGTTAATTGGGAAGGGTGAACGAAGGAAGACAGCGAGAATATGAGGAAAGGACAAGTACGATCATACCCTGACAATAATACGTCAACGCTAGTTTCCATGAAAATTAATCATATAACTAAACATATTCTAGTTGCACTCTCCTATGAATATATATCACTGAAATGAACTAGTAAATAACCTTTAATAACAAATACAAACGAAAAAAATTACAGCTTGAATATTGAATGATGGCGGTATAATTAAGTATGAAGGTTAAACTATAACTGAAAATGAGAATAATAGATAATGAAGAGATTGAATGACAGGGGAGGTAAGTATGATTGTTTGGGGACACAGATGATAAGTACGTACTGTAAATAAATAAAGACTGATCAGAGAAACAAATGTGATGATGTCACGATGTTTGACTGAAATGTGACGGCGGTAGCTCAACGAGTGTGACTGTACAACAAGACGGGTCATCAGAAGCTTGTTCGATTTCAATAATAAATGTATCCTCATTACAATAATGCTTTAACATATCGTCATCTAATTTTACAGTTACTCCTTTGATACATTGTTTAAATAAGCCTGATACCTGCAATATTTGAAATTGGCAAAATTTTTTCATTTGATTGACCACTTATGAAAACTTATTCACTGGCGACATATTCTGCTATCGTTCCTAAATATTTCAAAACGAATTAAACTTCCATTTGTTTTGTCTTCTCAACGGCATTTACCAGACTCAATTTTAAACCAACTTTCGAATGCCAAATACAGAAAAGACATACCTTCTCACTTTCAACACCGAATTTCTCACCGACCGCTTGGATAAGACCGGATAGTGAGGGAGGCACAATATGTAACGGCGTATATATTTGTTCTTCACGTTTCCTCACATAAAGCATCACTAAATGAATGAATGCTTAACGTTCACCGAACAAATTAAATGAATTCATTAGAAGATTCTCCATGAAACGAGCAAACGCATCTCTTCACTTACCACGTTCGGAAGTTCGTGGTCGTTTGGCGATAGGCTCTAGCTCGGAAAGTGGATCGAATGCAAGACTCGTATCCAAAAAACGTGAATCATATTCTTCAGGTCCAATGAAAAGGGCAGCTCGCTTCGTCAAATCGCTCATGTGGTAAAATTCAGATCGTTCACATGGCTCATGATATTCTCCTTCACTCTTCTTTCGTCCTGCAATTGAACCTTTATCAGAGAATTGAAGTATCGCTGAGATTACACAAATCAGACGATCGTACCTTGAAGCCTGCGTTTCTCATCCCGACGTGTCTCATGCAGCATTTTGCGGTTAGCACCCTAAAAGCCGACAAAGCACTGTTAGAAACACAAAACACAAAATGACATTGACAAAAAACAGGACAATTATTATTTGTGAGAGTGGTGATGAAACATCAATAAAGACGTAAAGTAACCAACGACTACGACAAATAGCACAAACACGGTGATGACAACAACACAGTACACAACGATTATGCTATTCATATGCTGCTAATTACCTGCTAATTTACGCTTTTGAGCTCTTTTGTCTTCATCTCGTAACTTTCGTTCCGCACCCTAAGAATTTTCAACTTGAAAATGTACTGTACTTGATTTGTACATAGTATCAGTGATATAGCATTCATTTTCATTCTTGGATTGAATCAGCAAGCATTATTTGGATGCAAATAAAACAAAATTCCGAGAGGGAGAATGAAGCTACAGCAATCCCCACAAATGAGTTAAAATGAATGCAAAATTCAATTTTTCAGTCCATATACAATGGTTCTTCTGAAGCTTTAAGCTGTTCCGATGACGAAAGGTATTAATTTGTCCCTAAAATGTTAAGTTGAAGATTGCCAATAATCGCGCATGATTCGCTTTGATTTGGAGTGCTCATGGATGAATAATTGCAAGTCACAATTAATTGTGCTCTAAAAGAGATGTTTGTCTTTTAAGGTATCTATTCCGGCTAACATCCATTACCAAAATCATGATGCAACCGAGATCAGAGAGAGTGCTCGTTCTGAACGCTTTAGGAAACAAAACTACGCAGAAATATAAGCGTATGCGATATGCGCACTTGTTTTATTCATAAGAACAGATGACTGATTTCTCATTTTGATATCCTCAAGTGGATAATTTTCTTCCCAGTGTTAACAATCATGAATCAAATAACAATCTAATTTAACAGATACAAGATTTCCCCACAATAAATTGATTTGTCGTAATTAAATGTGCTTCTATAATTTCATAATAACCGCAATAATTGACTGATTTCAAAGAATCTTATCCAATAATTTGTTTTCTTGAAATATATTGTTGGAATTTGCTACAGCCTTATTTTCTTTTCATATTCAGTTTTGTTCGTATTTCTCGTTTTTGTTGTTATATTTTTCCTTGCATTACAACTTTTCAACACTACTCGTATTTTCAACACCAGAAATACAGTTATGAATTTCATTCAAGTGAATCTCCATTTAGATTCATTAGCGACAATCACTGGTCCATTTGATCACCGCTGTACTACCGTAGAAAATTCATTTATTTTCCTCAATTCTTCATTGATGTCTACCAGTCTCAGTGAATGAAGAAAAACAATTTTCAATCAAACTGATTTATCAGCTTGGAAATAATCGAAATTTGTTAATAATGAGCACTGAAAAGAAACACTGAAGGACTAACCTTATCGCAGAAAACTTTAATTTGACAATAGCCTCTGTGAAACGGTACTTCACTGTTGTCATTTTCATCGTAAGTATCGATCTGAATGTGCAATGGTAGACCTTTGACACCCTTCTGATTACTGAAGTCCGTTGAGAGGCACTGTACCGCGATGCTTATCTGTAATCTCAACAGATTCGATGAGTAATTTCTTAAAAATAGACATTTTCGCTATGAATACTCATTGATACTATTATTGTGCTTATCTCTGTTGTTATCAATATGATAAGTATTGTTATTACTATTAGTATCCCTATTATTATTATTATTATTATTATTATTATTATTATTATTATTATTATTGGTATTATTATTATCACCATTATCAGACTAATGCACTGTTGTATGCGCATAATTTAGACACATGAAATAAAAATACTGAGTATTTACATCATCTTTTTTCGTGAATAACCAATTATTTCTGTGTTCATTGTTGAGTACGAACTGAATTTTCGCTCATTGCAAAATTTCAACTCATCAAATAATGTTTTTCTAATGCAGTGAAACGAACGCCATACAATGGGTGTTGTTCATTCATTAAACAAACATGTAACGCAACGCAATATTAAGTTTATGCTAAGCTAATTTATTAATCATTTTGCATACTTCTTTATTATTAGACCGAATGCCAACTACTTTCAAAATTTTACTTAAACATCGCTTGACGAGGGAACGAAGTTATCGAAACACGCTTGGAAATGCGCTGATGATGACCGACTGAATGATATAATATACTGCAACTATGACAGAATAGACTATTTATGCATAATGGAGGAAAAAATTGAAGCATAAAAATGAAAGTATTTCTTCCACGAAAAAGCGGGCGCTTATGAATTCAATTATAAATAAATGCACATAATTCGCGGTGCATAAATGAGAATAATTTGATTAGAAACAACTAATCATCATTCTTCAATAATGCAGTTGAAGGTAACTTTTCAATACCAGTGATGAGAGATGACAAGATTTTGTTCGATTCTTTATTGTTATTTGAATTGATTGATGAAAATTATTCATTTATTTATTTCTCGTTGGAGTGATGAAATCGAACGGCTTTGAAAAGGAGGCTAGTGCTAATTGCAAGCAAAATTAGAAGAGTACAAAAACAATTAGCATATGTACTGGATGTGATGAATGTAATGAGATCCAAAAAATAAACATTCTTTTCTTTTGGTTAGATTTTCCAAGAGGACAATTCTAAATTATTGCAACTGGATGACGATGCTTACATTTCATTGCTATCATGGTAGTGGCTTGAAGTTTACAGGAAAATCATAGATTTGAGAAGATTTTTGAGTGGATATCACAATTTTACAGACGGATCAAACATGACAGAGCATGTGCTGGCATGAAGTGCAGTTGAGATGTCGTCTTTTATCGAACGTGGATAGTGTAATTACTGGTAAGAATTTCGATGCATCAATCCAAAATTATTCCATCATAAATAGTCAGTGATCTTATCACGCATCATGTTAAGATTATTCCAATGTTTTCCTTCGGAAAACGATGGTGTGGCTATGATAAATGGATAGTAGAGGCAGATAATAATTACTCACATCATCCCTTCATTTCATTGAACTGAACGTTGTTGTTTACCGAATGAAAGAAGCTTAGACAGGTAGATAAATAATCGAAAATAAAATAAATCGTTAGCACTTCTCTGTGTATCTATCTATTTATGAATAATCTATTTTTAAGCAGTTCCATCACAATTTCAAAATGCCAATTGTCTTTTAGCAATTATACATGAGAAAAGGACGAACAAACAGATGAATAATTAGTACTGCTGACGAAAATAATTGTTTAAAATAAAAAGAAAAATATTTTTGTTTCGAGTGAATGTCATATGTTTCGGAAAAGGTAATAGGAACACGAAGAGTATTGAAGAAGTATTAAAGTTAATTGATTTGAAAATGGTGATGTTGAATAATCAAAAATTTTGAAAAATTGCAATGAAAACATTGATAACGAACTCACCTTAACGCTAGACTGTTCAGTAGGATTCCAGTAGAACTGAACAGCATTATGCGCGATTTCTTCAATCTGACCTATCATACCAGAACTATTCTTTGAATCGATCTCCAAAATGCGTTGTTTGACAGAATGCTGCCGAGAATGCCAAAACTGCCATGTTTTTATCTCTTCATCATAAGTTTTATCTTCACGAAATACAATCATCAATTGACTCTGAACAAAAGAACACGTTAAATCACAATGAAAACAAACTTGATTGCCATATCGTTGACATCTTAAGAAACGAACGAGTTTAAGGAGAGGGAATAGCAGAGTTGAGTAGTTAAAGTTGGGTATAGGTGAGGATATGATCTTATAAAATCTTCTAGTGCTTAATCAAATTTGGTCGTGCATTATACTTATATCTAATAATAATGATGTGTTTTTGATGCGTGATTATAAGTATGTGATTTACTATTATATGATATATGATAGACATTATAAATGTGACTGATTATTGATATATCTGTTTGGTTGGATTTGATTTTGGTTCGGTTCAGAATGGATATTTGTGTGAATGTATGAAATGATGATGTGAAAAGTTAGTTAACAGAAATATGGAAATGAATAATTATAATAACAATAATGAATGGGCTGCAGTAATCAACATCGACAAAAATCAATGCTGCGATGCAAATTGATCCATACAACATATCTATCGCACACAACTTGCATGATACACATCAATGAAAATTGTTATCATGATTAGTATTACGAAACGCCATATGATACAATTAACTGAGTGTGAACTCGAATTAAAAAGATGAAATAGGAATCGCATCGCATGCATAATCAGTGTATTCTCACCTAATTGTTATTTTACAACAACAATAACAGCATGCTTGATTATCAGCATATTATCATCATCATTGTGCACCCAAAGATTCACTTTTACGCACTATCAACAACGTGTTTAACTACTAACCTTAACAGTGGCACTTTTCAACGGTTTGCACAAATCTGGTATATAATCGAGTGAAACCGTATAAAATTGCCCCTTATTAACATAAGTCATTCGATCATCTTCTTTACGAACTGAGGTTGATATGGGTGCCTCAAGAACATATTGAAAACCCAAACTGTTTTCCCTGAAATTATCTATCGAACTGGAAACGGAAGTGCTGGAGAAGTGGACAAGAATGTTGCGATTAGCAGTAGCAACAGCAGCCATTCGAGCAATATCACCATTATGACGATTGTTTTATGAATGTTTTTATTGACTACTTATTAATTCACTACCTGTTTGAATTTTTTGATGTAGTATGAATAGAATAAATGCTGAAATTTCTTTATTAGGATCTATGTATAAGTGATTGCACTAGATGAAATACACACATAAATGTGGATATTTGAATAGACGGAGTAGCTGAGATTGCGAAAAATATAGAGCTTTCTTTCGTTTTCTTAACTTCACTTCAGATCGATCATCAGTTCGTATCGTAGCGTCAACTTAAGCAGTAACTACACAACAAGTCGTGTTTGGCTAATCGTAAGTAAACGTATTATTTGTGTATTCGTTTACTTTTTACCTACCTATGCATCCATACATCCATCTATCACTTCGAAAGAATGAAGTACTCCTTTTAGTGACTCCATCAGTTGAGTGAGTTAGTTATTTAGTTGCCGTTGTAAAGAATTTAGGCGCTATTGTATTGTATTGTAGTGAATAAATAATAATAATCAATGCATTTCTTCATCAAATAATAAACAATTGTTCGTTTAATTTTCAATGCACACTTAATAATAATAATAATAATAATAATAATAATAATGATTCAATGAAATGAGGAGAGAGTGAGATTAAGACGATGCTGATCGTGATTAGAATAACTCACAATTTAGGAATGATGATGGGCGAATCGCGATGGCTGAGCGCTCTTTCGGGTCGTTCTGCGATACCGTGAATCACCTCTGAGTTATTGTAAAAATCGTCCTTTGAGGTGGTAATCAACGATAGGTCAGCACCAATTCCCGAATCAACTGGTGAAGGCATTTCAACGCTTTTATAAACTCTTTCTTGAGGCACCTCCTGTGGGTATTGCAATGCACTAGCCCTCTGATAGGAATAATTTTCCATAGGCCTATTCCATTCCTGGGGAGCTGCTCCTTGGAAAACAGTGGGATAATAAAGAGGTGCAGCTGTCGAAGGAGCTGTGATAATGGAGGTTTGTGCAGCAGGGTGGGTAAGGCCAATAGCCGCATAATCTGAATAAACTCGTGAATAAGTCGGCATCGAGTAATACTGCTCGATAGGTTGCATTTTAGAAAGGTCTTGTAAGCTAGGTTGAGTGAGTGGTGCCAAATCAATGGGTTCATTTTTAGGTGAGAAATCATGTTGTCGACCAGGAGGTGCCGTTTTGATCACAGAAGACGAGTCGAGGTGAAATTGCGACTGAGACATTGTGGGAGCAGTAGCGATTATGGATGAAGAAGCAGAGTCGTAAGACTCTAATTTCATAATCGAGGGGACCTGCAAGATAAAAATCACTGCGAAAGGTCATAGGGCATAACCAACGAGTGGCTGACATCATGAGGGGCGACAGGCTGGTTCACTAGTGAAAGAGAGGAAGGATGAAAAGCGAGTAGTAATGGGCAAACAGGCTTACCAACTATCCGGTCCTTGTAGGCTCGTCTACGGCGAGATGATAGAGAACGTCACTGGGCACTAAACTCGAAAAACCAGTAGGGGGAGACTAGAGGGAGGCGCACGAGTGCGCGCGCAAGGGGGCTGGCGGAAAGACCGGTTCTAGAGCGACTGTCACGAAGAATGTTTGCGGTGATCTGATCACATCACAACGCCTCGCATCGCATCGCGTCACATCATACACATACCTGCTGCTCCACTTTGCTACCGCAGCACAATCAGCAACTCATACAGATTAATATTATATATAATTATATA